CATATATTATCCTGTTTTCATCAAGAGTCATTGGCTCAGAATTTTTGGAAATCCACCAGTTAGTAAACTGAGACCAAAAGCTCTTAACTTTCAAACAGGTTGCGAAAAGGTGGGTTAGTGTTTGTCTTTCAGAGCATAGGTGACATTTACCAGAAGGACAGATGGAAGGATGGATGGAGCAACTGACTATCATTTTTGTCTTGGTAACAAACCTGTTCGTAAAGTTGGTGATATTCTATTGATGCCTCCAGCATGGCTCTGTGATCCTCCATCCTGGACAAAAATCTCTGCCAGCGGACTTCCATTGCAGACACTTGTCGCATAATGGCAGGAGCATCATGGTGATTCAACTGTCTCAACTTTTCTGCTTCCTCTACCAGTCTGCCAACTTCTACATCAGCAGGCTGACAAACAATTTAAATTATAACATTGTAATCCAAGTGGTTACTTATCATGGAATGATTTGGAGCGATTTTCAACTAGAGTTGAAAGTAATCAGGCAACTACCTTGGTTTTGGTTTTGTTTTTGGTTTTAGCACAGTTTGAGATTTGCTGAGTAGTCTAATTGGTACAAAGTAACTGGTTTGGTTTAGGTTTTACGACACTCAATTAAAAACTGCTCTAAAAAAATCACAATCGCAGTAAAAGTCCTCATTCTTGATTCAGTTTGGCTAATTTATAAACAATAAGAAAGCGTGATCTTCAAAGCCCTACCTTCACAGATTCCAGAAATGAATCAGAGTCTTGCAGAAGAGTAACAGCGTCAAGTAAAGTGACACCAAACTTCCGGTTGAGAGCAAGTAGCTCTCGAGTGTGCTCCTCGATAGTCAGGTTGACCTGTTAGCATATAATTTATACTTAGTGTGGAACTGGATATAAAACCAGACATATTACACAAACAGTATTTTCAAAGTAAATTTTCTTGGGTACTGGCAAATTTTTCGGGTAGTAAATACTATCAAATGCCTGATCGTTTGTGGTACCCTGAGGATTTGGCGAAGGTGGTAATGCTAAAATGTTGGTCATATATTTTGACTTGTACAGACCTGAAATATGCCTTTTTCATACATTTGTGGGGCATCCTAGCAAGAGTTATGCAGAGTGAGATAAGTGGCACTTAAGCCGGGAGGAGTAACGATCCTACTAGTTGTTTCATGCGGTACAGAAGCTGACATGAGGTCTGGCTGTATGGGTCACCTATGTGCACATGTCTAACCACTGCATTCACTTGATAAGTCTTTCAGAACATACCGTACTGATGGCTTGTTCAAATTCACATAGTCGCACACTTTCAAGCAGCTTGTCTTTATGATGCTCCCACAGAGTTCTCCATTCATCATGCCTCCCTTCTGACCTCTCAAGGAAACCCTTGATTTCATCGCGCGACACAGAGACTGCAGCTGAGGTGGCAGCTCGACTCAAGACATCTTGTGCACTAACGGTGGTGAAGTTGTAAAGGTCTTGAACTGTCTGGTAGTTGGCAAGATGATCCTGAAGGAGAAGCTGTGCGTTGTTTATGTCTCTTGGAAGAGGCTGTTTTCGTATTCCATATGTCATGTCATCCATCATTTGAAGGAGCTGGAGAGAAAAATTTAGTGAAGATTAGAGCTACACAGTCTTCACATCTTGAAAAGTTTAACCTAAATTTTTCAAGTTCATCATTTGCAATCAGAGTCGATGATCTTCATCCTTGAACATCCTTGCTTCTCTATGGTTTTTCTATCTTTAGTAAAATATTTTTAGGTTTCCTTCAATTTAAAGGTAATTTCGTATATGGCCAAAATAACCAAAAATACCATGACTGAGCTCCTTTAGGCTATAATTTCAGTAGGGTTTTGACTGACATTACCCACTCACTACCAAAATCACCACAGTTCAAAATTGAAAAGTATTGAAATGAAAACAGTACCTGACAAAACAACCATCAAATAACTTTCAATCCAATGGTCACACAGTAGGGCCTTCAACACTAATGAATCCCATCATAATAAACAGCTCATTTACTAATTATGTACCATCTGATACTGGAACAGGTCTGACCTCAAATTATGGCAAGTGCTTTCAAAATATCAATACCAAATGTGTGCTGTAAAACCACATGTGTAACAAGGAATGAGTAACTCACTTTTTCTACACTAGTGTAAAATGTTGCCGACATGGACAGAAGCACCTCATAATCTGCCAGGAGTGTCTTGAACCTCTGATATGCTATTTGTAATTCATCTGTGATTACTCTGATTGCTGCCTTGTAACTACCCTCTGCCTCTGAGAGCTCCTCTGCTGCACGGAGATGAGATTGAACATCTTCATCTGTGCGCTGAAGGATAAAAGCAAGTGACGACTTCTGTTATTACAATGATTTTTGCAGTCAACAGAAATGGCTGATTGAAACGAAATAAGTGAAACTGCTTTTCTCACACACTGCTGGGGTTTGGGTATAGGTAATGTGATCTATGAGGCAGGCAATTGTTTCTGTTGCATCTGCCATTGCTGTCTTTCCCACCCACCCACCTGAAGATTTTAAGTTTCTGTACAATACCAGTATAGTGTACAAGCCTTGCATGATTTATGTTATTTGCAGTCTTAAGCAGAATGCTACTTGTATTAGCTTTGATTTTGCAATAAAGGCCAGCCAGCAGCAGTCAGCTTGGCATGGCTACCAATGGTGTGTGAGAAAGGGAGGTTAATAATTTCAGACGTTCCTGATGTCAACAACAGATTCTCTACCACTGGTTTCAAGTGCAATCCATTTAACACAGGTCAGATTTTTCCAGCTTACCCTTGCAGCATCTTTGAACCTTAGCAGTTTGCCTTCAAGCTCTCTCGGATCAGCTGGAAGGGAACTGTAGTCAACTTTGACTGGGAAAAAAGCATCACTTTGTTCTTTGACCCACAAGATGACCTAGTGTAATAGAAGAAATAGAACAACAATGACTTAGCAAAGGAAATTCTTAGGTTTGATAAGTACATACATTGACTGCGTATCTGTCAATTAGTCAGTGTTACTGACAGTCAGTCAGTGAGTCACTCACTCAATGGGTCAAAGAGTCAGTCAATCAAGCAGACATTTATGCACCAGTCAGAGTACACATTTGCCTATAGTCTCTCTGTCTGTCTGTCTGTATGTCAGTTGCCTGTCAGTCAACTAGCCAGTCGTTCATTTATCAATAGTTATAAATACAGTACAGTGCTCTGCAGATATGGATTTAGGAAGCCATACATCAATAACAGCAATTTATAAGTATATTTGAATGCACATACTAGAAACATTTTAATTGATGACTTACCTCTCTAGTATCCTTTTCAAACTGTACAAACTCAGCACTCAGTTGTCTGTTCTTGTTCAGTTGTTCTTCTCTTAGAGTCCACAGCTGACCAAGTTTGTGGACCCTGGCTTCCAGAGTGGCCAGGAACGTCTGTATGCATTCAGCAGCTGCCCCCCTGTCCAAATGTTCCTCTCTGGTCTCCTAACAAGGAACACAGTTGTGGCTTAAAAAACACTACTATACATAAAACGATCAATCTGTATTATCACAAATATTTTGTTAGATTAGACAACAACCTTGCTCAATTTTTATCTGCATCAATGACTACATGTATTCTTATTAGCAGTTCGACAGAGGACAAAGGGTGGGAAGGAAAAATTGAAAAGCGGAAAAGGAAACAATGGGTCAACTTAAGAACAAACTAGAGAGACACAACTCTAAATCAAAGCAAACCAATGCTGAGCATAAAGCTAACTTCTACAATGGTTGACTGGTCAACAACCTGCATTGTAGCCTCTTGGAACCCTTTGTTGTTAACTTAGTATCAGATGTCACCTACTTTTCGCAGTTCATCTAGAAGAGCTTGTGACTCCTTCTGCATTTGCCCAGATGCAGAAAGAATAGCATCCTGCAGCTGTTCCTGCCGAGCAAGCATTGCTGGTGATGCATCCACGTTCTCCTTTGGTTCATCACTTGTCAGCTGACTGGAGAGCTCTTCCAATTTGCTGAAAAGCTGTTGAAAAACCAATGAGTAGATGAGGCAACTACATGTAGGATTGTCTGCTTTTCTTCGAACTGGACACCTTATTGAAAACCATCCATTCAAATCTTTCTAAGTTAATTCTGACAAGCAGCTACAGAAGTGCATCAACCAGCAAGTTGATGGCTGTCTTAAATACACAAATAAATTATATATAAATTCCAAGATTTAGAGAGGAAGCCATATCAGCCTCACATGGTTTTCACGTAATACCTCTATCCTGGTTGAATAAGAATTTGGAGATGTTGGTTTTGTAGACGGAGGAAAATCGGAGAACCTGGAAACAAACCCTCAGAGCAAGGCGAGAACCAACAACAAACTTAACCTACATAGGGCACCGGGCCGGAATCAAACCCCAGCCTTATTGGTGGGAGGCAGGCACCCTCATCACTGCACCATCCCTGCTCACCCATCCCTGTCTTTCCTTCTATGACTCATTGAATCAATTAGCAATGTACAGTATACACAATTATAGACCAACTGTACACCTTTCTAGAATTCCTCTTTCCTAACTATAACCAGTCTTGCTAGAAATGCACCTACCAGTTGTCTATGTCGATGGAAATCAAAGTACATTTTCCCCAACTTCAGCCTGTAGTCAAGTCGAGCAGTGAACCTGTTCCAAAGATCCTGCATGTCTTGCACCTTAGCAATGTCTGTCTTTGACCGTGCATTTGATACATCAACAGCTTTGGCTATTTTGTCCTCAAGTGCCTACAGATGAATAGCAAAGATATGATCAAGCATAATTGTAGAAGACCAGGTTGAAGAATTCTCAAGAGAGGTGCAACTCTTCTTTTTGGTGGGAAAGTGTATTATATGGAGACTGAACAGGATCACCATGCCATGTTCTTAAGCAAGTCCCCTTTCTTTTCATGGTTACATCTACCCCCCCCCCCCACCCTCCAAAGAAAAAATTGTACTAGTTTATAAATTATTGGCTTCACAAATTTAATATCTCACCTGTCTATCTGAATCAAGTTCCTGGTGTGAATACAAGAAATCCTGTGATGTTTTAACAGAATCACCCATCACAGTATTGTGATCAAGAAAGTCTTCACCAACATTCTTTACCCATCCACAGAGCTGTATCAGAAAAAGAACAGTGTCAGCCTTGAAGCTCTGATCAACACAATAAAAAGAAAATATTTAAACCTCTTCCCATCCTACGCTAGAAAAAAAAAAACAATCCTTACTTCCTATTGCCATAAATTTCTTTCAGTGATAGAGTACATCTGAGAATTGGGTACTTCATCAAGATAATAACTATCCTCTAAAGCTGAACCGATGTTGTAAGGAGAAGTTACATTTTGATCAGACTCTTACATCTTCCAACTCCTTCTCAGAAGGATCAGGTTCCACATTGACGAGCATTGCTGTGCTGCGTTCTTGCAGTTCTTCATACATTCTTACTATCACTGGTTGGTGTTTACCGTCTGCCAGTTTCTCTTGTAGCATCTTGCCATCTCGAAGCTGTGCTGCAGATGCTGCATTGATTGCACCATAGAGCTCCTTTTGATCTTCCACTGTGAGTTTCTCTTCAGTGATTTTGTCTCCAATTTCATCAAGCTTACTCAGAGCCTTAAAGTAAAGAAATCAAGGGCTTACACATCAACACAAACATTTTCACTATCCTTACGTCAAATATCAGATGCTTGTTTCTACAGGTACCTTTGGCTGGGTTTTAAAATTACACATTCTTCTTAATGATTGTAATATATGTCTTTGCCATTATTTCTGAAAAGCTACAGTACTTCAAGTTACAGTCAAGACCAAGGGAACACTTACAACCAGGGCCTGTTCTGTTATACACATACACATGTAGGAGATTGCAAAAAATTCACCATTTTACCAGGACCAAACCTGTCTTTACTAATGACAAATAAAAGTTTTACAAACTTTGTGTGTGTAACTAAACAAAGATGTTGGGCCTCGGAGCACTAGTAGCTAACAATTAAACACACAAAAACAGAACTCTTGTGCATGTAAAATTTCACATTAAGTAATTTCCGTGATTTTCAACCTGTGTGAACATTTGCCTGATTCGTCGATAGTACCATATAAAGGTATTACAGTCAAGTCTCTTGTCATGGACACCTCATAATTTACAGACACCTCTATAACACAGACATCCCCTTATTATGGACAGTTGACTGGGTCCCAACGAAACCTGATTTCATATAATCTCTACCTCTATAATATGTCTACCTCCCTTATACAGAGACTTAGCTCTGCCTATTTTGTGTTGGTACTAGAAAGGTTTGACCTTACAGTATTATCAAAGTTAAATAGTCACTTACTCTGCAGTTGTTTTTGTAAAAGGCTATTGTCTCCAGCAATAGTTTCCTTCTATCCTCCACACGTTGTTTGAACAACTGCAAATTTGTCTGTAGTTGGGTAATTTTTTGCTGTGTGTCCTGCATGTCGCACAAGTCGCCGTTCACAAGCTTTTCTGTTTCTCGTGCAAGTCTCTGTCCAGCCTCCTCCTTTTCCTGAAGATAAAAAAAGAAGAAAGAAAAGCTCAAACCAATATGGCACCTATGATGTATCACTAAATTTTTTAATGTGCAATTAACACAAGCATATTTCAGTGAAAGTTTTGTCTTGAGCAGATGCTAAGCAGTGGCCCTTCAATAAAAGTATGTACATGTACTAAGTATATCACATATGCTCTACAGTGTATGTACCTCCTATCTATATACATGTTGTAAAAATGTAAATTACATCTACCAGAATGTTATGTTGTTGAGTTACGTCATTATTTTCTTTTGACCCGAGGTGTAACAAATCTCATGAAAGCGCTTGCAAACCCTAATCATAATCAAAGATGGCTGCAGTGCTCAAAGGAACTAACAGTTTTTGTCTTTTTTCATGGGACCAGCAGAAGGCGGGATACACTTTGGGGTAGTGAAAAAGAGGTACATATCTGTGTTGTGCTACATAAGGTTTTGGCAACACCTAGGAAATAGTAGATTAGAATTCTCTCAGACATCTAAAGGTACATGACCCAAGGTCAGAGTGAAGAGTACAAAGGACTGATTGGAACACCTTCAGTTAAGTCACTGGAGAAGAAAAACCTGAATACCTGTGCAGCTTCCTCAAATTTGGAGTGTTCATCAAGTAGGACTTGTGTCGATGCTGCAGAATCTCCATATTCTTGGTAGCTAAGATAATCCTCGGCTTCTTCATTCAGCCATTTTGTGATCTGTTACAAGAAACAGTATTGAACTGACTTGTTACAGTAACAAAATTATGATCTTCTGACCATCCTGAATGGAAAGTGTCTTTTTAAATATAGTTAAATGAAATTTAACATAGTTAACGACCAGGAGCTAGTCTGGTCAGTAGCGTTTTTGCAGGTGGTTGTTAGTATTTTGGCCATCTGTTAACATTTGTTTAGCGTTTGGTGCATTCTGTAGCATTTGATATAGTTGTTAGTGTTTTGGCCATCTGTTTGCATTTGTTTAGCGTTTGGTGCATTCTGTAGCGTTTGATATAGTTCAATAGAATTTGACATAGTTTATGACCAGAAGTTAGTCTGGTCAGTAGCATTTTTTGTAGGCGTTTGATAGTGTTTTGGCCATCTTTTAGCGTTTGTTTAGCATTTGGTGCATTCTGTAGCATTTGCAGCGGTCATATGGTCGTGAGAGCCCTGGGGCTGACATCTTCCAGCGGTATTTTTGGTTAGTACGTGCATCGTCATCCCATGTGCTTGCAGTGTGTTCGCTGCTCTGTTAGTGTGGCATTGTGGATTGAATTACAGTTTAGCAGTTCGCAGCATTTTCTCCCTATTCCCCCCCCCCC